GTGCAGTGAACACTCTCTTGACGGACAGCGGAACTTGAGACAGCAAAGTCTACGTAGACTGTTGACAAATGCCCCTATAAAGGACTCAGCAAAGCAAATAAGCCTTTTATAAGGCCTGTTCGTTCGGGGCAGTCCTCACTGTACTTTGGCTGCCGACTGCTGGGCGCGTGCAGTTTGCGTATTTAGCAGTTGTTAGCAAAGCTCATAGCTGCGGGCGCCAACAGCTGCGGCACACACATCATACACCCAACCACCCACACACACACGCACGCACACGCACGCACACACACACGCACACACACACACACACACACACACACACACACACACACACACACTTGACTCGCTAAGAAATGTGGAAATGCTGATATTATTTTGTGAGCTCATTGTCACATGATAATCAGACGCTGTGTGTGCGATAATATAACCAGCGCCCACACACAACCACCCACACACACACACACACCCACACACACATGGAACAAAAACATGGCTTACATTTTCATAAAGTTCTTAGCAAGCGTCGCACCCGAGGCGAAAAGGCTTTTTCTTTGCTCTTAGTTTGACCCCGAAAAGGTAGATTTTGATTACTTTTTGATGAGCCCTCGCAGTGGAATGAATTTTCATCAAAAAAAGTAGAATATTGATTTTCAAAAAATAACATAATGCAGCTGGCAATGCGAGCATATTCTACACGATTTACACCTGTGTTTCTGCCTAAAGGTGTCTCCCGTGTGTAGCCTCTGTGACTCCAGAACCCTTGTAGACACTTGTTTGATAATTGAAAAACAACTCGCAATTGTGCAATCAGAGACTCGAGTGCGACAAGGGCGAGCTAAGCTACTGGAAATGGCGGCTATACTCGACTAGATAATACCTGTTCAAGTCACAAAAATATGCAAAGTTTGTGAAATACGAGAAATTAGACGATTATTATAGTCTTATACATTTATAAGCTGATACTCTTATACATGCATTAATACCTTACTTATACTACATTCCACTCTATACTCTTATACTATTATACTCTTAAACTGTTATAATTGTGTACTCATATACTTCATTATATTACTCCATTACTATAATCGTATATTTTTATAGTCTTAAATTATTATACTTGTATATTCTTTTACTTGTATGCTCTTATACTCTTTTGGTATTCTGGTCTTTTTAAATATACATTTTAGATTTCAAATCAATAGATTCGTGTCGTAATTCTCGATAGGCCACGCTTTCAATAGACTTAGCCAGTTCCGCTTAATGCTTCTTCTGAGGAGGTTATCAAAATTCGGGGTCTCAAGATGAAGAAGACTTCACAACCAATATGCTCGCTTTCTATTGTTGAACGAGCAGAAGACAGCAGGCTCAGCTGGCAAACGCCAACTGGAGGCAAAGACAACGTGACGCGCTTTTGGCCAAGAGGCACATTAAAAAAGGAGGCGACAACAGAGTGGGCGACATGGCAATTAGAAATTATGTGTTTGTTGAGCAGATTGTGACAAAACTCTCAGCTAATTGCTAATTGCTAATTGGCCCAATCAATGCCACATGGGGTCGCTAGACGGGGGGCAAGCCTGAATAGCAGCCAAGCATTTAGAAGGATTCTGGCCATGCAGTTTGGTTGCATTTTTAATCAATGCCACTCGCTCGACTCGACTCGACTTGCCTCAGCTCAACTCAACTCAACTCAACTCGACACTTCACTTCACTTCGCTTCTCTAACTTGCAACATGAGCGCGCGTGGCATGAATAAATTAAAGCTATTTCATGTCGCATTTTTATACACTCAACTCATTGAAAACTGTTCAAGTGGGCATATTGGCTTTGTGCAGGCAGAGGTGGGCGTGGCTGAACTTATAAGAAATATGTATTGTAGGGAACGACAAGGAGCTGAGGCGCTTCAGACATTGCTTCTTCGTTCTGTCGTGCATATAAGCTCACCAATCTCGAGAAATACAAAAGTTTGAGATTTTAAATTTGATATATATATCTTATATATCTTGCCAAGTACTAGCTAATAGGTTTTCTTATTTCATAATCGATATTTCAACTTGTTTATTTGAACATATCTCGAAGACTATAATAGATAGAGCTGCTATACTTGATGTGTAGACTGCCATAGTAAAGAGTAGGCTTAGAAATATTTCCTTTTTCGGATAGCTTTGCTGCTAGGAATTGCAGAAACAGCGCTTTTCATATAGCAGAGTCCAGAGTCCAGACTTGAATCTCACAGTTCAATCGATGGATAGCTGAAGGGAAGAGCAAGCGCAGCCTTTGCATATGAGCTGAGGTGTGGCTTCAGGGTGTTTGCTAGTCGGGCACTCTCTGCTAGAGCACTTTTACTTGCTATAAAAGCATTCAGCTCCATCTGCTGGCTGTTGGCTCCTGCTCCAGCTTCTGTCGCTGAGGTTGATTGTATGCGCCTTCCATTTCGCTGCTGCCAAAGATTGTTGCATATTAAATTTTGGCTAAGTGCTGGGCGAATCAGCTCGTGCCAGCCCCCCTATCGGCACCCTGCCCCCCGCTTCAATAACCCCAAGCAAACAAATCAAATCAGATTCGAAACGTGTGCCGGCGGCTTTTAGTCGACCTCGACTGCGTTTATTTAAATTCAATTTTATATTGGAGCCACTCACTTTAGGGACTTTATTGCCATAGAATGGCTTACAAAGTGGATTGAAGACGCCTATAAAAACAGCCAACAGCCAGCAGCCAGCAGCCAACAGCCGATTTGTAAGACTCGCCCGACCACGCCCCCCGCCCATTGAGTACTAGATAATCAAGTTCTACATCTATATCCAAAGGAATTTGGCAGAAGAAATTTTGAAGTGGAATTTTATATATACATAAATACATATAGATGTGGGTCGTGTCGGATCAGTTTGACCTTAACGTGTAGATGAAGATAGGAAGCAAAAATGTACAGCCAAGAGTGCTCCTGTCGGAAGTGACCGACTAGAAGTTACCCTAGTATACGCTATGCTACTGTACTCTTATATTTAAAACTCTTATGCTGTCTTACTTTTGCTCTTATACTTGCTACCCTCTTATACTTTTGTACCCTTATAGTCCACGACTCGTATGCTGATGTCGTAGTCAGACTCTTATACTCCTCTACTATTGTCCTCAGCTGTCTTACATACTTTGACTCTTATATTACTTTTCAAGTATACTCCTCTACTCTTATACTTTGCTTATATTACTCTGCTTTTATAAAACTACTTAATATTACTCTTATACTTCTCCTTCCCTATACTTCTTTACTCTTATATTACACTACTTTATTATAAAGTACAATTTCTTCTGATACTCCTCTACTATTAAAGTCCCACATTCTATTTTAAGCTAGTATTCGTTTATTTTCTTAAGTACTTTAAATTAAGTACTCTTATAAGCTTATATTTTACAGACAGCCTCCTTTAGTTTTACTCCTCTTATATAACTCAAGTCTTTTGCTTATATTTTTATAGTCAGACTCTCATATATAAAGTCTTATACTTATGCAATTCTAACCGCATACTTCTCTTATATTACTCAATAATTATGCTTATATTCATTTAATCAGTCTTATACTCAAACTCTTATACTTGTATTCGTATACATATGCTCTTATACAGACTCAGCTGATCATCCAATTCAGAAACAAATGTATAAAGGCTCTCACGCCTTCTTCTGGCTGTAATATAAATTTTGCCAGACGAAATATACCCTATTTGCCCAATCTGAATGAGTGGAGGGTGTAACAATTAATTATATTAAATTTATGTAAATATATAAAATTCAGCTGGCTCACGCTATCAATGTGAACATCTTTTGCAACTCAATTAAATTTAGTTTCCGTAATATCTTTAGTTCCCATCTTGCGCTACCTTTAGCTGCAATCAGTTAACAATTGTTGTTTTCCATTAGAGCCCAGTTAATACGCATAAAGAGCTTCGCTTTCGAGCTTAAATGCCTAATTAATTAGAAAAGTCATAATAAGGAGCAGAAGCGATGACAAAGCAAGAGAACTGAAGAGCGCTCGACCTGAAATTACACTACAACAAACAGTTGGAACAGAGGACAGCTGCGCAGGTGCATACCAGGTAAGCATGGGTAGGAAGATGTGTGCTCGCACTATAAAGATATGACAGACATTTTTACTTACAAGTTTGCAGATGAAAAGCAAAGACATGCCGAGAGCCCAGAGCCATGCGGCTGGAAGCTGGAGCCTAGTGAAACATTTCGCAAATTGCAAAGCTTTTTAATTACATGCCAGACCCTGAAAAATGTATAACAAGCATTTGCCTTGCTCTACTGCTGCGGTTTGCTGTTGCGGTTGGGTCGTTGACTGATTGCAAATGTGTTGGCTGCCCGTTGCCAGAAGGCACAAGCGAGTATATTGGTTTTGTTTGCCAAAATGTCTGAAGGCTTGAAATTTGTTAAGCTATAATGAAACTTATATAACTAAGGCCTTGAAAGAGGCGTGGCAATTTGATAAAAAAAAGGCTGTTGCTTCTATAGCCACATTGATCTGATCTACAAGTAAGCCTAACCCACTTGGGGCGTTTCTTATAATTTAGCTATTTTTCTGAGCTGCCAACGAGTATTAAGCAGTCAGCTACGCCCGCGTGCAACATCTTTACTAATTTCCGCATTATATTTGTGTGTCATAAAGCCAGAATAATGTTGTCATAATTAGCTTTTGCTTTGTTTGTGGCATTTGTTTTTGATATTTCAACGCATAAAATATCTGTCTATATCTATTGTCAAATATGTTGCAGCTTAGGAGATATATAATGCTCTTAAATATATATACAACACATAACATAAACTGGATAGATTGACAGTGGAATTCAGACTTATTTTGACAATTTTTAACATAAAGCAGAACAATTTCGATTCGTATAGAAAAATTACATATTTATTTTACCTACATTAGCTGCTTAATATAATTGACACAGGCCAACAAGTTTTAGGGACGAATCTCGAAAGCCTCTCTGCACAACCTGTGTTTTTGTTGGCCTGTGTTAAATTAAGAACACGTTTGTTGGTTGAGCGTGTTAGGTCCAGTCAAAGTGAAATTTGTATCCGTGACTATTCCGGAAATCCGAATATCTTAACATTGCCAACATCTCGACGTCTGTCGCCAATGGTTTCCTTCTCGTCACAGGCATAGGCCAGCAGGTATTGCTTGGGATGCCACGCGACAGTGAAAGTTGAGGCATCTACATGAATATCTGTGACTCGCTCGCCCGTTTCCGTGTAGGCAATGTCAATGAGCAGATCCTCGCTGGCCGAGGCTATCAGTCGCTCGTCATGGCTAAAGGATATCGTCCGCACTGGCCACTCCAGTCGGCTAATCATGCGCAGGCAGGCCAGCTCGTTGGCATCCCACAGGGAGACCTGTGCATCCGCTGAGCCCGTTGCAAAGTATTTACCTGCAATCGCAATCATTTAAAAAATATCTCACTTTTATCATATGCTCCACCTACCTGTGGGACCAAATTCAATGCATATGCAATTGGCGGGATGTGCCTTCAGTGTCATCTGGTGCTCCAGACTGGGATAGCTGAGCACATGCATGCAGCCCATACCATTGGTCAGGAAAAACAAATCGTTCGTATTATTCCAAGAGATTTCATTCACCTCAAAGCTGAATGGCTCCTCCACGCGTATCTTGTTTGTGCGTGTGTCGATGAATGTGATCAAATCCTCCTTGTTGCCCACAGCAATTGTCTTGCCATCCGGTGACCAGGCTATGTTTATGTTCTCGCCCTTCGTGTTGGTAACTGAAACACATTTGCCCACTCGTATGTCCCAAATTCGCACAGTTTTATCGCCGCTCGCTGTGCTAAACTGATCCGGATTTGTTTTGTGCCAGCACAGTTGATCCACGGACGCTGTATGCCCGCGAAAGACATTGTTCTTGACAAAGCGATCCCGCTCCAAGGCGTAAACAGCCACAGTCTTATCAAACGATCCAGATGCCAAATGGCAGCCATTTGCATTCCAGCAAACCGAATGCACCTAAGAGAGGAATGGGAAGAAGAAGGTAACAAAACAAGTCAAGACATGCTGAAGTCATGGCACTTACCTTTGACATATGCGGCCGCTGCTCGCGTATTTTGCTATGTGATCGAAAATAGGACTTGAGGTCCTCAAATGTTTGCTCGCTGCGACTCATAATAAATGAAAATTGTAATATTTTTCGCCAAGCCAAATATAAACCAAACAATTTGTGCCAGTGCTGTCAGCTGTTGCACGCCGGTTTGGAAGTGTTGTAAAACGTCATATTTTGCTCAATTTCGGTTTTGAATCAGTTTCTGTTATCAGTCGCCACCAATTTTTGTTTTTAAATAGTGCAAGGTTATAGAAATCTCATAAGTAGCACAACATCAAATCAAATCAGCTCATTGAATGTCAATTCCGTGTCGCGTGTATAAAGTAAAAATGCAGATTATATTAAGTTACTTAATCCTCTGCCTCTCTTTGATGGCTTCCATCAGTGGAAGGACTTTGTTCGATCAACTCTTTCAAAGCGAACCCAGTGGCGGCTATTATTATCCTGGCCCAGCACCAAGCTATAGACAGCCCCAGAGATCCAGAGGCAGACCCCAAGAGTATCAGCGATCCTACAAAGATATTTGTCGCGTGGTTAATACAAATGGCTTCACAAACCCAGGCAATGTTCCAAGATGTCCTTACTAAAGCTTTCTTATCCTCATATTTATTGAATAAAAACATACAGTTGTGATTTTAAATTAATATATGTATATATACGTGCTTTTACACTTAATAATTCTTAAATTAGCAAAGCATTTTCAATGATATCATATACCGACTATATTTATAAACTAGTTGCAAATTTCAGGCTGCTAGGCAGACGCTTTCTGATAATCTAAAACAGGCGCTTTTGCACTATGTAGAACACACAAGCCAGGAACAGACAAAAGGCAAAGAAAAGTAACATTTTATCGGTGCATTCGCGCCTTCCGTATTTCTTTAGCAGTTTGCCCGATTGTGTTAGGCTGCCGGCAGTGTTGTGTAGCTCATCGCTGGTTGCCTCCACATTTTGGGAAGAGGCCACCAGGGTTTCCAGTGTGACTGCACTCTTTTGGGTTGTCTCCGACAGGTGTCGCGATATGGCCAACATTTTCTCTGTGACATCGTTTTCCTGCGTGACAAGACTGCTGCGATTGTGCCGCGCGCCCCCTGTGGAGCGCTGTCTCAACTCACTTTCGCCCGTAATGGCCATGAGTTCCTCACGATTGGCTTTCTCTATCTCCAGCATGGTGGAGACGTTGGCCTTGCGGAATGCTTGTAAAGTTTTGGAGAATTGCTCACGATGTGTGTCCACTTCTGTGGCCAATGTGGGATCGCCCATGTCCCTCGCCCAATCATCGAGCCTTTCAATATTCTTTCGTATCGCTGACAATTTGGCGCGCCCTGCTTCATTGAGCTCTTCCAGTTCGCCAATGGATGATCTGCTGTTGAGTATGTCCTGAAATGTGGAATTTGTACATAGAACATAAACATGTTTATATCAAATGCATCGCTTACCTGAATGATGGCCTTTGCTTGCAGATTGTTATCAATCAAATCTTGACGTATTGACTGAAGCGTGAATCTATCCTTGTCCATTATTGCGATTGTTTTTCCTTTTTTGTTTTTCTTTTTTTGCTGCACTGTCAAAGTATTGTTTTGATGTGACGTGTGGCATATCGATAACTGCCAAAAATCTGCCTCGTTTTACAGCACTCAAAACCATTTCAATAAAATTCGATAGTCTCAGCTGTTTGTCGATACAAGTTTTTCATTGCTATGGCCGCCTAAATGGTGCAAGTCTAATATTGTTTTGAAAATTTCGCTAACCTATATGTCAAGCATGTCAAGTGTTACAGATATTTCTCTTTCTGAGTCATTGACACCACCGGTAAGTATAGTGTCTTGACATTAAAACAATCATATCACTATTGGTGCTCCAATTTCAGACTTCTACAGCACACTCCGTCGTTAGCTCTCCCATCTTCGAACTAATGGAAAACTCCAGCCCCGAAAATACCTTCGAATCAAATTTGACTTCGGAGAACTCCAGCTCCAGTTACAGTTTGCGTCCATCCCACTTCGAGCAACGTTCCGGTGATACATTGGACTTGACAAACGACGGCTGGCAGGATTCATTGGAGGAATCATTTCGCCATGATCTAATTGAAGCCGAAATAGCTAGCAGTAAGTGTCTGCTATAGTAAAATAGCTTAAATGTCAATTGTAAATCTTCTAGTACGTCTCTTCTGCGAGGAAGTCGATAATAATTTGACCCAAATTGGCCTGGGCCCAGTGGGCAGCAATTCAACACCCAGAAATCTATATGCTCGTCGTAATAATCGAGAATCTGGCGGCAGTAAGTGCTCCTACAATGAACCCTGCCATGAGCGAACGACAGCTAGGATTTCATGAAAACAGCATGACTTGCTCTTTAAGCTGATTTATATTTTCGTCTTATTTAATGCTTGTTTCATGGAGTTGTTCGTTAATGGAGATTTCACTGTAAATTTACTAGTTTCAAACTGCAAACTTATTTTTTATAATTTGCAGATCAGCCTGAAGATGTAATTGATCTGTCTAGCCTAGATTTGTATCCACCTCGTCACTTTGAAAGACCTCGCACACCGGAGGCTTTCATAGATCTGTGTACGCCGGAGCCTACGCGCCGTCTTCCAGCTTTTATCAATTTAACAGATTCGACTAACGAGCCCACAGCTGCTAATCGACGTCGTCTATATGAAAACAATCAGTCGACGGCTGCTGCAGAGTCTATTGATCTGGGATTCTCGCTGCCAAAGCGTGAATGCTTGGACGAACACGATTCATCCAGTGAATCCTACAAATGTCCAGTCTGCTTGGAATGCGTTCGCAAGCGCGAGCCATCCTCGACCAAGTGTGGGCACATCTTCTGCAAGAGCTGCATTGAAACAGCCATAGCGTCCACCCACAAATGCCCGCTCTGTAATAAGCGCGTGGCCAAGCGCTCAATATTTCGTATTTATCTATAGGTTCCTTTGCTTATCTTTATATTATAATCGCTCGCATTCACGGATAATTTAGTTGATAAGTGAGTGGAATGCACGCATTATATAAATGTTCCTCATTAAACAAATAGTATATATAAAAATATAAGATCAATCAAGTTTCATTTGACATTATGTATTTAACCATCCATCGTCATGTTAGCTGTAAGTGGACTGAAATGGAATGAAACACACTAAAAAATTTTAAGCTAAGAAATCTTGTTTGATTGTTATCAAAATGTTCACCTCTGCATTGTAAGATAATTGAGTCATCAATGAAATGGAAAAACTATTATGCCTTACAAGTTTATTAAAACAGCTCCAGCTGTAGCTTTTTATCATCATACTTAATCTAACTATTACGATTACAATTTCACTTACATATATGAAGTGGAATGGAATGGAATCGAACGTTTCAGACACAAATTTCTTCACATTCTTAAGCCAGTTTTCTTATTAAAGAATCATGTTATTGAAGATATAGTTGGAATGAAATGGAATGGAACAGCAAACAAACAATTGTGGCTTATCTTTTATTCGACACATTTTATCTTATTTTAAAGTGAAATGGAATAGAATGGAACAAGCAAAAGTTCCATTTGTAGGGCTTAGAAATCGCCAGGCTTAAATACTATAGCTCATCTCTGCTGCTTCTGATGCGTTTCATTGTTTCATCTGGTTTCACTTCATATTTCATCAATTTCCCATAGCGTTTCAAGAGCTTACGCCAATAGCACTTAATATCTTGCATTCTCAGGTGCTGGACAATGAACTGATGACCCCTCTGGGCAATTTGCTGAGCAAGTTGATCGTGGCTTTTGAAGTAGTTGAGTATGTCCTCGTATTCCTGCTGACTGGGATAGCTGTGAAGTGGAACGTAGTGGACCCATGGCTTTAGCTGGTGATAGAAAAATTCCTGCCACTCGTCGCCGACATGGAATACGAGTGACTCACAGAGAAACAGATGTTTCAGACGAAAACTAGCCGCAACGCCGCGGAAGTTAAATAAATATTTGTATTTGCAGTGATCCTCAAAGGAGACTTCATTTGCTGGCGGCGCATCGAGGGTATCTTTGGGTGATTTCCATGCCTGATTCTTGGTGTATTGCGCCTCCACCAGTTGAGGGTTTCGCCTGGAAAGCAAGATCAATGAATCGCGTTCATCCGAAGTGCGTGAACCGCGGAAGAAACCAATTTCCTCTTTTTCCAGCCATGGAATAGCTTTGGAAACCTTTTCCAGCTTCTCGCGCATCAAATCCCAGCGTCCAATGCCTGTTGGATGCAACTTGGTTGCCGGCCCACCAGCCCAAAAGGTCCACGCCGGGTACATAATATCCAGATACTCTGTAGTTTTTGAGAACGAGAAAACGGGTCCCTTGTGCTGCCAAGAGGTATGTAACTGTGGATAGTCTCGTGTATTGATCACCAAATCCATGTTTCTCAGCTCCGGCAGCAGCTGCAGCAGAAAGTGCTCGATGCCCTGACAGCGCGCTGGAAACATACAGTTATCCTCCCTGTACAGCTGGTTCCCATAGATTTTATATCTCGTGCCATATTTGCCGGCGTCTTCGATCATTTTTCGAGTGAAACCTGTTGATTTGTATGGGGCCAAATCACGTTTGATGCCTGAGGCATAGCATGTGCAGTTGACGTCATTTGCATCTGTAGTGCATGGCTTGTAATTGGCTAAAGCTTTTTGTATGCTTCGAGTGTATTTATCAAATTCTATAAAAAAAATTAAAAATTTTTAATCACAAACCTTAAGTAAACAAGCCGAAGTTTACTTACTTGCATTCTGCTTAACTTCAATTCCTTTATCTTTAAGGCATGCTGATTGCTCTGTGTTATCACATTGTGTTTCACATTTTGCTTGGATTAAGGTTATTATTAAAAAAATTAATAAAACATTGTTCATGCTTCGAATAAACAATTGGCCTGCCGCTTTGCGTAAAGTTATCGATATGTTTTTACCGTGAGCACAGCCGTTCAGATTGGCACAACTGCGATAGAGTCTGACAGACCGTTTGGCTTAGTTGTATGTGGTCGCTAAACGAAATCAACGATGCTCTTGGCAGATATTTCACTCTGGTCACACTCATTTTGTAACAGTTACGAAGTAGAGTTGACTTTCTGCAGTCATGGGATGTGTGCACACTGTCCGCGATAAAATGAAGAGAAACCAACACTACGTCGAAAGTTTGCGTATTGTTATAAATCTTACACGCAAAGTTGCGGACGACATAATTTAATATAACGACTTTTCTTTATTGCGATCGCCTTATTATGCGTGTGGCATATAGTCAAATCGAAAACACGCAAAACGAAGTAAGCGCGAGTGTACATTCATTCCATTGTCCATACTTTACATATGAATTTTGCAACAACAAAAGATGAAACGAATCGAAGATTAAAGAGCAATCACAGTTGACATAACTGCAAACACACACATACAAAAGTAACTATTCAAAAGTAAATTATCGAACAGCGGAAGCACGTAAAAAGAAAAGAAAATACATGAAAAGAAACAAATCAACACAGAAATCGTAATTTTGGCAACGAAAGTTGTGAGTGCGCACCACCACAACTTAAACGAAACGTTCCCACATTGGAAAACTGCAAGAGAGGATTGGAATTTGCAACAACAAAGTGGGCGGCGAAGGCGTTGGCGTTGCCTTTGCCGTTAGCGTCAGCGCAGTAGCAGCAGCAGCAGCAACAACAGCGCACCAGATGTTTGTCGAGATAGTTGCCTAATACAATTCAATGCAAAAGAGGTAATTTCATCCAATCAACCTGTAGGTGCAACTTTATATACACACACATGCATGACTATATGCATGTGTTTGTGTATTGCTCATACAAATGTCAGTATGTTTACCTGTGTGTGTGTGTTTCTTGCTAATTAGTATATAGCAGTCTTTTGATTTTAATTTAATATATTTTTTTTATTTAGTTATAAAAAAAAACAATTTTAGCTTTCGCATTAGGTGTCTGAACCAATCGTGTGAGAGAGATAGGGACCGAGAGGGGTTACTGCTGCTGCTGTGATTTAATTTAATTCGCTGCCGCGTTTTGGTTGGCTTTGAGCTCAGCTTCCGTTCCGCTTTGATTCATTTGTTCGCTTCTGTCAGCCGCTTGGTTTCTGTTTGATTTCTTTTGTGCTTTGGCGTCTCATTTGTTTTTATCACGTCTCTGTTTATCTCGTGTTTTTCATTTAACAGTACATTGTCGACATTTTTTCCGAATCTCAAAAATCGTTTTCGAATTGTTTTTTTGTCTCCCTCTGCTTTAACTATCTTTTGATATTGAAGAAACACTAGAAACTGCTTTTAGTGGAAAGCTATCTTATTGTCACAATCTATTTAGAGTTTACCCACCTGGTACGCATGTATATTAAATATAAGTAGTATGTATTTTTGAATTCAATGCTACCCCAAACTCCATGCTCCAAAGTAATATATTTTATGGGCCTGCGCATTGAAAATGTCTTGCATTTTGAGTGAGATTGGTATGGGGTATTCATTATATTACTCATTGATCAAACTAGTTTGCTTGTTTACATATACAAATTGGCTATTACACCGCTAATTACATAAACATACATTTATTCTGAGACGATCTGTTGTGTTATTTGGATTCCTGGAACGCTCCAAACAGTAACTGTAAACGTCGCTTATCAGGTAGTCCGACTGTGTGTCATACGTAATGTTCCAATTTCAGTGTTTTATTGTATGCACTCCCACCCAATGGGTGACTAAGAAGACGCGCGCTCTCTCTCCCTCTCTTTCTCTCCCGCTCGCTCTTCCGTTACTCTGAACTTATGCTTTTATGTTGGTCAAGTTATGCGTCTGTAGAGGAGCCGACGTCGCTGCTTATGCTGCGGCAGCGCCACAGAGAGTGGTGGAGCGAGCGTGAGTGCGAGTGCGAGCGCGAACGCCTCGTTGAGTTACAAAGCAGCGGCCCACATCGACGGTTGCGCGTCGCCCGTATCTTGGGTTTGTTCGTTCGGTCGTTCGTTGCGTTTGTTCAATTATTTTCATTTAGAAATAATAACAAATAGTTTATTGTTTAAACAAAGTGCTCGGGCTCTTAACTTATAAATAACATTTTATATTTTTATTTATGGTTGTAGCACCTATTGATTAATCAATGTGTATATACAGGGTACAAGGCGCGTTCTGTTGAATTCACCACACCCGCGATACCCCCTCTATCCCACCAAAACGCAACGTTTGCTCTCTCTATCGTTTGCTCTCTGAGCGTGTTGAGAATTCCATTTCCAGTGCGTAGTGCATTTCAACATTAATGCTAATCTAAGGAAAAGTCCGTGTGTGGCACATCGATTAATTTGCAAGTGTTTTGTACATTCTTTGAACGCATATTTGTATGTGTATACGTAGGCATATTATCGCACAGTTCTATAAAAACTACGTGCTGGAGCTTTATCGATTCGAAAGTCATGTGTATTTACTTATAACAATGACCAAGTGTGTTGCAAAGTGTTTTTCATAACGGAGTTTATTCGATTACGCTACATATATTTTTACCGTAAGTTTGAATGCAGCTGAAATGATTAACAATAAGAACTTTTCTTTGAATAGTGTTATTAATACAACTCTGTGGCAGTGGCAGTGGCAAAAGGTTGAATTTGTTTTGAAAAATCGATTTTCTCTTTATCAAATATGTATGTGCGCTCTCTGGCACTCTCTCGCTCACGCTCTCGCATGCCTTCCTCTCTTTCGCACTGTCTCTCTCGCACCTTAACATCAACCAGCTGTTCGTTCGGCTGGGGTTCAGGCTATGTCGCAATTGCCTTGCTGCCAGCTAACCGGATCAAAACGGTGTTAATTTCAATGCAATGAATTAATTATGTTTAAATTTAATATTTAGTTTTCTAGCAGACTTTGCCGGCTTCAGATAATTTTTTTCTAAGTGTAAATATTTATGTAAAAATCTAAGGCCAAATAGAATTTGAAATTTGTTGCTTATTAAGCATGGACACTGCGCAAATTCAAATAATTGAATAAACAAATAAATTTCTTTATTAATTGTTTGCCAAACTCGAATGTAAAGTGTTTTCATACCTGAATATCCAGGCCATATATGAAGAGTCAGCGAGTTGTCATCGACGCCTACACATGAAGTGTGTGTATGTATGCGTGTGTGTGTGTATGCCTGTATTGGTATGACAGTTAATAACACTGTACAACAAATGGCAATTTGTTTTTAATGCCTGAAGATTGATGTTTTACTATTTTTTATGCTTTTTGCTGTAGTTTTTCTTAATCTTTAGAATAATGAGCTTTTGTTTATAAATTGTATTTCTAGCTGTACTATATATGAAGTTGAACTTCCCGAACAAAATTGAGGCAGATCTAAGTATTTCTAAAATTTGTTCTTTTGGTTTTTTGAGACGTCGAAGTTCAATTCAGCCTTGATAAAAAATTGCACATAAAAATAGTAGTTCTAAAAATTTGTTAAGTTAAACAGCATACAGTCAACAGTTATACAGTCTTAGGCTACTTGAGATAGATTCATTTCATTTCATATACCATGCGCTTCAAAATTCTTCTTGCCTGAAAATTCTTGTTGTCTAGTGTAAAACATTCGTAACTCTAAAAAAATGTCCCATAATGAAACACACTTCATAACAGATAGATCATTTGCTTAGTATTCCCTAAACATATTTCTATGCAACGTTCCTTGTTCGTCATTTAGGATTAATGAACTCTCGTAGGAAACCCATTTAGCACTTGATCAGGGAAGACAGAAGAGCCGCGATGGCCCTATTGAAAATAAATGTAAAACATTCTGGAATTGAGGTCAAAAATGTGTAAATAAAATAACGTATTATACATAATGCCAAGATAGCGAAGTGAAGTGGATGCCCGCCCCAACAGCAAGACGAAGCAAACAAATATCACAAAGAGACTCCGAGGAGGGATCATTGGGGTATCTGTCTATGTGCAGAGGGGCTCTAGCTGTAGGAAACTGGGTCAGCTGCTGCTGGGAAACTTATGCATGGGGTTTGTTTGATTTATTTGAGGCTTTGTCTAGTTGATTTATCTCGAAAGCCCGGGAGACAATTTTATTTCTGTTCCAGGCACCTTGTTCAAATATGACTCAGGTGCTGGCACAATCACTTGTTGGCATTTGCAGCTGCTTTTCAATTGATTTTCTCCATAATATTGAAGCAGCTGAATTGATGTAGTTAATCAAATGTTAAGTGGAAATCATAAAATATCAACATTTCGAAGTCAACTTGTGGAATTCTTTATCTAGTTTATAAATGTACTCCAAGTGTTGAGAACTTTGTTCGTTTCATCTGTTTCAATCATTCCTAAGAATTGCCTTTGTCCCTTTTTACACTGAAAACATTTCGTATATGTAATTGTGAATCAGCTCAGACAGTTGTGTCGTGTCGATAAAGCACTTTTCTTTTGTCTATGCATTTGCCTGCTCCTATACCTTGAACTGTTGAGAAAGGCACGTCAGGGCTTTGTGGTTTTGTGAAAAAGTATTTAACTGCCTGAAGGAAGCGTAGTAGACTCTATATAGTAAATATACAGAATATATGTATCAGAACGACAAGCTGAGTTAATCGAGCTATGTCTGTCTGCAAGAATACATCAATCGAAGAGTCTATAAGAGCTACAGACTCGATAAAATGATAGTTGCAAGCTAAGAAATATTTTCAACAACGCAATTCGGCCAGGTTCAGGGTACATTCAAGTCGGTTACTCCCAACCATAGCTTTCTTACTTGATTTTGTGTGAAGTCTTGACTCTTGGCAGCTATAAGACCTTTTATGGATATACTCCTTAGAATATACATATATCTTTGATAACTTTTGATAGGTCCATGAGCTAGAATCAATAAATTTGATATATAGAGATGCCCAAGGTATGCAACAGTCAATTTTAATATGATACCCATTATCAATCAAAGTATTTCCCAGTCGGGCAGTCTCGTCAGCAGTATTCTCTCTCTCTATATGATTCACACAGTTCGTTATATAAACAATTAAATTTCATATTGTTTTCCAATGCGTAACTTTATACTGTGGCAATAAAGTTTTTGGTGTAGAGAACTCAGATACGCTCACACACAGCTTTATTTATAACATAAGTAAACTCGTATATATAACTGTAACATAATATATTTATAACTTTTTATTCCAAACGACTTGTGTTTCACGTTAATAATGCAAATCAATACAGAGCCGCTGTTCGAAATGAGTTTGTCGTATCGGAGAACATTAAAAACTTGTTAAGTTTTAGTAACTCGAATTATTCGCCCAGTTTTTGTAACATAATCCGTATTCAATCCTTTATAAGGCGGAAGTACGTGAGTCACGAACAGCAAAAAGATTTCAATTGTCGCTATTCAACTAATCGATTGTCAGTTGAAGGTCAACAACGACCTACATACGCAGTCTCTCTCTCTCTGACCATATATGTGCATAGTATATTCATATATCTGAACTTATATATAAATATAAATATATATATAGTACTCAATATTGTTTTTTCTGCATCCATCTTGGCGGTGCGTGTTCAAGTGCTTAATTCTGCATCGCATGCCACGCTCAGCTGCGCCTCCATTGACGTTGACATAGTTATGTCTTTGTATAGGAACACGTATGTAAGACCCATCGTTTTTCTTGTCACACCCTAAAAATTTATTAGCCGAAGATTTTGCTTCCTATTCCCTGACATAAATATGGCAATCATGCGTTATGAAATAAAATTTACTGATAGATCATGGATCACTTTCACTAGATATACGTAACTTTCCGTCTTTATCTATCTTCAAAATATTCGAGTCTGTTGGTTCGATGTAAGTGTTAGTCTGTCTGTGGAAAGTCAAACTAGGAACTTGTAATTTATAAGATATATATTCGTATATAAATTCTATTATCTATATTCTATAAATTCTATTATCTTAGCAACAGCATAACCAAGTTTAACAGCTGAATCTTGTTGCTGACCTGCTTCTCAGTTAGAAACATAAATTATTTGATCGGAAAATATTCACTTTCGAACAAGTTCAGTCCTCTTTAAACCTGGGACGAGTATTTTGTAGTCGGTACTTACTTATTTTGAACTCATTTCCTGCTGCGCGCCAGAAAGACTTTAGTTAGCCTAAACATCTGTGTATTTGCTGTATACTGTATTAACTAATAGATATAATAATTGGATGAATTACACATATAGCTTAGCAGATACTTCAACTCTTGTGGGATACTCTGTCTTAGAAAATTAAACACTTATTGCCGCTGTTCATGTTCGTGCCTAGCGCGCAGTTGAATTCCTTGCCGAATTCCTCCGAGTTGCTCAGTGGTCCATTGACATCCCAGCGTTGTGGGGTATGTTGCATGAGTGGCATTGCCTCTGAAGGCGGCTCGTCGTTCTGCATGGCCCAGCAGCGCAGCTGAGCAAAGTAGATGAAGAAGAGCTGCGTATTGGTGAAGTTCAACTCGGGCAGTGTTTCGCGTAGGAGCAACGGAATCATTTTTGAGTCGACCTGCTCCAACCAGTTCAAATACGCATTGAAGGCCACGTTGAGAGCGCCGGCTTCGGCAATGATTTCCCTCAGTCTCGTGGCATTGCGAAACTCGCTGGGCTGATCCGACAAATAGTTGCTATACTGAGCACGTTGGCATTCGGTGGCATTACGATAGCCAGCCATGGTTAGTTCATTCCAGGGCGCGGTCGCTTGAGGATGCCGGTTCCAGCCCTCGTCATCGAAGGCCTGCAGCAGGGCCGTGGCCAGGCGTTGTCCGAGCAGCGCATATCTTAGGGCTTTCGGGTAGTAGTGACTGTAGTAGGGCGCCTGCATGAGGCCCCAGCCAACGAGCACTGCCTGCTGGCGCGGCACCAGCGCCGCTCGCACCTCGAACGCATTGAGTGTGTCCTCTGGCATCTGTCCGAAGTCATTGCCACGCAGCGTGTTCAAGTACTCACGCGAGTTGTAGCGCAACGTCGTCTCCAGCTTGCGCCAATAGTCTTCGTTCTTTTGAAAGTGCAAACCGGCCAGATCGACGCCTTGGTAGTCCGGGAACTGAGTGTGGTATTGGGCTAGGCGGGTGCGGGCAGTGCGTCGATCGCTGTCGTCCATCCAGTCGACTCTGAGCTGTTGATCGAAGGCTTTCACGAGGTCACTGAACACATCTTCCATATCGTGTTGGACGTCGTCGCGTTGCACGTGCCGCTGATACATGTCGCCCAGCACCTGGGGAAAGAGTCGCTGCATGACGCGAACGCATTGACGTGGACGCATCATCGCCTGCTCCTCGGGCGGCTGATTGAGCTCGAACAGAGCTCGATATAGAATGTAACTGGAAATCGTCACTTGGTTGTTGCTCTTCGCGGTGCGCACCAGGTGGTACAGATAGCTTTGGGAGCGCAGGTACACATAGTCCGGATAGCCGTTCTCCACAATGTTCTCCACAAAGAGCTTAAAGTCCAGCCAGTTGCCCAGTTTGGTGGTCAGCTCCGTGAGCTTCATGCGCGGATACTGCGCGCTGCCGCCAGGCTGCTGCTGGCGCAGTCGCTCCTGGCCGACGCGTGAACGCCCGCTGTAGACAGGTGGACCCTCCGGACTGTTGGGCTCCACTGGCGGCAGGGTCTCCTGTTCGCGCATGCGCTTGCATAGCTCGAACTCGAAGCGTATTATGTCGCCACCGAAGCGTGCTGCCTCGCCGCTCTCCATTTCAAACCAGTCCCGCATGTTGTCCGCCACTTGTTGTTGTATTTGCTCGTAGATCTCGTCGCGCACGTTTGCCTGGCGTGTGGCGATTGCATTGCAGTGCTCTGCCGGTATGATGGTCAAGCGCGGCTCGCCTAGGTAAACACTGTTCCCGCTCATCTGCTGCAAATTGAGATCGATATCCAGTCCGATCAATATATCCAGACCATAGTTGCGCCGCAAGGCGGCGAGCATTTGCAGCCAGTGGTAATCGTGTTTCCAGTGTGAATTCGCCACGTTTCGCAGTCCGCCGTGTTCTCGCAGGACCTTCATCAGGAACTGGCGACGCTCCGCGGCGTTGGCCTCCACAGCCACGCAGGAGTCATAGAAGCTGCGCACTTTGCGCACGTTCGCAGCGCTCGCGGGGCTCAGCTCGTTGGCCGACAGCGGCAGAGTCAGCAGCTGCTGCAGCTGCTCCACAATGCTGGACTCCATCAAATGCTGCGCCGTGATCAACTCACCTTCGCGCAGTTGCCGCGTGTGATAACGTCCCCAGTTGCCGCAGGCGTATTCATAGAAGTCGTCGCAGGGATCTGAGCTTAAATTCATATACTTGAGCATGTCTCTGGACATGCTGAGCCGTATTCTCTGCTCCTGGCGACTATCCACGTTGTTGTTGCTGTTGCTGTTGCCGTTGCTGTGACTGTGAATGTGCATAGCAGCAGCAGCAGCAGCACCGCCACGATTCATGTTGTTGTTGTTGTACCTGTATGTTGCTCCCGCTGCATAAGTTTCCGTTGCCAGGTGAAGCAGGCAGAGCAGAAGAGCTAATGCAAATCGCGTAGTTCTCATTTTAGCGTTCAAGAATCAACTGAGCTTGGCTCTAGTAGATAGATTGATAAGCATTGCTTAGTCGTATAAATTTTCCGCTCATGAACTTGACGAATTGGGTCAAGTGTGCGCTCAATGTGCTCCCAGTTCCAGTTCCAGTTCCTGGGGTTATCGCCAAAGAGACGAGCGCTGCGAGAGCTAAAGAGAAGTAAACAATAGCTTCGACCTCGCACACGTCGCCAACTCTGAATGTAAATGTTATCGAAAGCAAGCTCATGCGAGTCTATCGATTGCTGAGTCGATTTAGCCATGGATGTCCGTCATTCTTCCTGATGGAGAGAGAGATACCTTATGCATTATATGCTTGTCATTTGCCTTATAGAAATCTTGTCAAATCAAGCCAATCGATAAATATCGATATGAGCTTTTAAACTAGCTTTAAGATTGATATTGATGTCTTGTCGTACTGAATGCACAGATAATTCTAACACATAAATTTGAATAATTAAATGCTAGAGTAATGTGGACAAGCCACATATAGATAGATCCCTATATAGAGATATTGGGAACTCTGATTGAAACCTAGAAAATTTCATTACAATCGTACCAAAAGACCCCAAGTTCAGTGAAGTTGGGAGGCAGAAAGCGAGAAAAGAGTGAAAATACAGTTCAAAGCAGAGGTCAGGGTATTTACTAGTCGAGCACACCTCGTTTACATTTATAGAAAAACAATGCCAAAAAATATGTGTGGGTAAAAAATACTTCAGTGAAGGTATATTGTTTATGTCTTAAAGGCACATCAGATAAGCTAGCTCAGTAGATGAAACACTTGTCGGATGGATTCATTGCTGAGCCAGTTGGGCAATGGAATTCACGTGCAAATTCGGCCAAGTTACGCAAGGGTCCATTCACTGCCAAACGGGGCCAGCTGTGCGTTTGCCTGACGCTGTATCTGAGCGTTGGCCATGAGTCTGGCAACTGATGTTGTTCCCTCTCCTTGGGCTGGCAGTGCTGTTGGGCAAAGGCTAAGAAGAAGAGCGCCGTATTGGAGTAGTTAAGACCAGGCAGCGTCTCCTTTGTCAGGCGCACGAAATCGTTGTTGGGCGCCTGCAAGCTCAACCAGCTGAGATAAGCATTGAAGGCGACATTCAAGGCAGCGCTGCGATTGATCAGCTGCTTCGTTGCGGTGTCATTGCGCTGCAGATACTCCTCGACCTGGCGTGCAAAGCATTCACTGCGATTCTGATACCTCCAGGCGGTCAATGTGTCCCAGTTGTCGTGCTCGAGCAAGCCCGCTGACCAATGCAGCTCGTTGAAGGCGGAGACTAGCGGACGCGCTAGGCTAACACCCAGCGTGGCATAGCGCTGGGCGTGCCCGTAGCGCTCATCGTAGTCCGGTGGCTGCAGCAGCGCCCAGCCCAGTTCCAAACGCCGCTGCAGCGGTCGATAAATCACGCGTGTCTCGTAGGCTTCAACTGGGTCAGCTGGCAAAGGCAGATTCTCTTCAGCTTCGCGCTTCAGCTGCAGCACCTGCACCTGGCCCATAAGCTGGCGCAGATTGTGCCAATAATTGTTGCGCTCGAACTGGAGTTTCAGTATCAGGGGCTGCTCATAGGTGGGCATTGATAATTGCAATAGACTCAACTTGCGCTGAGCTATACGACGGCTGCCCTCCTCTAGCCAGTCGGCGCTCACGCTACGCTTCAATGATTCCTGTAGGTGATCGTAGAGCTGCAGCAGCTGCTGCTGCTTCGACTCCTCCAGGGCGTAACGCGCTGCGTAGAGCTCGCCCAAAGCTCTGGGCAACAGTTGCTTAACTCTGTCCAAGCAGAGAGCTGGCCTGCGCTCCGGCGTATCCCCGAGCGGAAACGTTAATGCGGCCACTGCTCGATACATTATGTAATTAGCTATTTGAGTGGCATTGCGTGTGTTCAGCGTGCGCTGCAGCTGGCGATAATATTTCGGCGCCGCCATGTAGACGGGTCTGAAGACAGTTTGTTCATAGACATTGTTCGCGTACGTTTCGAAGTCTAAGCTATAGAGCTGTCCCAGCTCAGCCAGAGTCTTTCGCGTGAAGTTCGACGTGTAAAGATGTAGCTCAGCATCCCATGGCTCAAGGCCTTGCATCGCATCGCATAACTCGTGCTCCAAGCTCATTATCTCACCTGCCAACCGAGCCGACTCTTCATTGCCCATGGCCAGCCAGGTCTTGAGCTGCTCCGTCACAAGGTGCTCGATTTCCACATAAGCCGCATGGAGCTTATTGAGACGTCGCTTGCTGCACAGCTCGTTGGGTATCAGGGTCGAGGGTTCGCTCAGGTAAATGCTGTTCTCCTGCACACTGGCATAATTATAGCTAACACGCAAGCCAATCAGTATATCCATGCCGTACTGTCGTCTTAATCTTCCACTTATTTGCGCCCAATTATATTCCCGATTATATGCGCTCCACTTGGCGCCTGGCACAGCCGGAAAGCCGCCATTTTGCTGGATGAACTCGCTGAGGAAGTCCTGTTGCTGGCTGCGTTGAGCTTCGGCAACGAGGCACGACTGATAAAACTCCTTGGCCTGACGCGCTAAGCCGCTGTCCTTGCGATGTGCCGACTCCTCCAGCAGACGCTGCAAATCAGTGTCGATGCGATGCTCGGCCTGCAGCTGCGGCGTCGTCTCTGTTTCCCAATTGCCGCAGGCGTATTCATAAAAATCTGTGCAGGGATTGGCACGCAGATTGATGTGACGCCGCATCTCATGCGCTTTGCCCTGGCGCACCGTGTCCTCCGTTTGATAGACGCGCTGAAAGCCAACATTATCATCGCCAGGTGCTTGCCCAGGTAATGCCAGCAACAGCAGTAGTGCGAGAAGAACTCTTGTATGACCAGACTCCAACATGCTGCTACATCTTTGAATTGCTCTCAACTGCTACAGTCAACTGTCGCTTCAGAGCTCGGCCTCAAACTGAGGCTGATAAGAGTGCCGCAGTTCATTCTGAGGTTATCAAGAGGGAACTGGAAAGAGAGCGTGGGAGAGAGAGGCCAGAGTATTGAAGATAAAGTTTTGTTTGTGGTGCGATCTCGTTGCCTCTGGCAGGATGGGCAAATGGGCGGAGATACCCTGTATGAAAAAAAGATACATTTGGTATATAGGAAAGTTGAAGCCAGGTAGAAGGACAGACGCACAGACCTATAGGACGGACAGCCAAGTCAGCGTTAGCTAGATCAACTCAGTTCGTTCTGCCTGAGCTCTGCTTCGATATACCCTTTACTCCCTATAAAATCAAGCAGATCTAACATGTGCATAGCTTTATTTATTATATATATATATATTAATACACGTATGAGTGTTTGTCTGAAATAGAAAAGTTGTGTTTAACGATATTTTTAAAAGAGTGCACACTTGAAGCGAGCATTTAGCTTATCGCTTTTGGAGCAGCTGAAGGCATTCGCAAACTGCTCCGAGTTGGAAAGAGCTGTATTCACACGGAACTGTTCGGGTAGCTCGTCGAATATCTCAACGGATTCCGGATAGTCGGAGCAGTAGAGCTGTGCATAGGCCAAATAGAAAAGTTCGTTCTCTGTGTAATCGAGCAGAGGCAAGCGTTCGCGTTGATAGATCGCAGGTGTCTCAGCTGAGTTCCTAAGCCATTTCAGGTAGGCGCGATAGGCAATGTTTAGGGCGCCATTATCGGCAATAATTCGACTGAGTAGTCCTTTGTCCTGCACGGGCTTTTCTTTGAACTGTACAAAGACTGCGTATTGCTCCTGGAAGCATTGGGCGCGACGTGCGTAGGAACTCTCCGAGGTAACATCCCACCAGTTGTTACGAAAGGCGCGGCTGTCGTAACGCCGGCCGACATCATCGAAGCCATGCAGCATCTGGCGAGCCAGGAGCACACCTATGGTGCCATACTTCAGGGCATTCGGATAGACGGGATCCCAGAAGAAGCGCGCTTGCAGAAAGGTGATCGGAATTTGCATCTTGTTGGTGGTCAGCTCATAGTGTGGCACCTTGTACACTTTGTCCGTCAGCTGGGGCTCCTCGACAAGCTTTGCCAGATGTCGCTGCGTGCGCCATTGCAGGACTTTTACCAGATTCGGGTAGAACTGATCCTGATGCAAATTCAAGCCGTACATTTGCCTTATCAGTTGAGTGTCGTCGTGATTGCGGAACTGCAGCTCCAGCAGTTCCAGCTTGGCAATGGCCTTCTGCCGGGTCTCGAGCGTGAGCCAGTGCAGATCTGTGGATGCCTGGAGATCCTCGCGAAAGACGCGCTTAATATCAGCCCAGGTGGACTGGATTTCATTGATCATTTGCATGTTGTTGAAGTTGCGATGGAACAGACTCTCCAGATGCTGCGGAAAGTATTGACGCACCAGCTGCACGCACCAAATGCTCGGCTGCACGTTGAGCGGCACACGCGCCTGGTCGAGTGTGTCCAAGGTACGCCAGATTGTATAATTGGCCAAATGTAGCTTCGGCGTGTTTCGTATCACGTCCACAAGGTTGGACATATAATCCTCCGGCGTCTCATACAGATCCACGTACAAAGTGTCGTTGTAGATCATTTGCAAATAGCGACTCACATCCACAAAGCTGCCATAGGCCGCCTTCATCTCGGCCGCTGTGCGTAGTCGCGTGGTCTGCTCCAGGGTGAGCGCCGGATTGTGTGGCAAGCCTTTGGCCAGCTGCTGCTCAATGTGCAGCACCTGTGCGGCGACTTCATTCTGCCAGCGCTCCGATTGCTCTGGGAAGTAACCCTCGAGCTTCTGTCGAATCGCTTCCTCGTAACGCTCGCGTGTCTCATGATAGGCCGCATCCAAATACTGACGACGATGTCCCAAGGGCAGCTGTGGCGCACCGATCTTCAGGCGATGCATATGCTCCTCCTTGTAGTCCAGCACAACATCCAGACCAATGAATATGTCGACGCCCAGGCGTCGCTTGAGCATGGCCACGACGTGCAGCCAATCGTATTCGTAATAGTACCACGACGGCACCCGAATCTCTGGCCAACCGCCACGGAAGTCGGTCACCTCCAGCAGAGCTGCCAGAGCCGAGCGCGTATCATTCGCCTGGGCGTGGCAAGAGACATAGAAACGTTTCAGTAGCCGATCGGCGCTGCTGTCGCCATTCGTCTTGCTGCTCTTCAGCATGTCCGCACTTTTGCGCACAAACAGCTCCTGCAGCTCCTCCAGATAGTTCGTCTTCTTGTTGTGCAGCCGTGCGGGATGCAAGCGCGGCCAATTGCCGCAGGCGAAGTTGTAGAAGTTCTCGCATGGCCTCGGCTCGCCCGTGCTTAAGTAGGCCTTGATGTGGGCTGCCTTAGCCAAGCGCAAGATATCCGTCGTGTAGTTGTTCGCAGCAGGATGAGCTCCAGCACTGCTCCAGGCTAGCGACAATAGCGCCAAGCCCATCAGCAGTCGCTTGCAAAGATCCATTTTCGTTTCTGATGCGCTTCGTTTAGTTGTTGATAGAAAACTAAGCTCGAATTGAGCTTTGCGTCGATTTTTGACTTGGGGCGGCGCCGACGGCTGCTTATCGTCGTCCGGCGCGTCAGCCTCATCAGTTTGCTCGCTTGATTAATTAATTAGCTTTATTAACCGTTGCAACAAATTTTTGCTCTCCATTTTAATAACCCCGCTGACCCAATTCAATTCGCTGTTCTGCTCTCACTCTCAGGCAGCATCAACTTTTTTATTTTTGTTTTCGTTGGCTCTCGCGCACTTGACCCACAAGGTAGTGTATGATCTATACCCGGTAATAGTTATAAGTATGCAAATGGGGTATATTGATTTAGTGCAAATTTGTTGGTAAGCAGAAGGTGAAATATGTTGGGAAAGTGAGTTTACTTGAGCTGGACGCTCTGGATCCATAGAGTCCACTTGGGTCTATCGTGTCTTATGTCTTATCTCGTTATCAAAAGAAACATCTGATGTGACACATAGACTCTTGTTGTGAATACAGCAATGGCATATGTATCCCCCAATATATAAAGCGCTGGCTGATTGAAACGACAGCTCTATGATTAGAAGAGTCAGGGTATCTGTCTAGTCGTGCTCACCCGTCTTGAGCACTCTCACTTGTTTTGCTCATTGTTTTTTGCATTGCCTCTCGCTTTTAGTTCTAATGAGTCTATGATTCTCTCAGTTGCTTTGCGCTGACCAAGGTTGGGATCGTTTTACATACACAGAGAAATTGTGAATGAGTAAATAATGAAAATTTGTGTTTTCCTCATTTAAGCTATGTTTGTCTACCGTTTACGTCTAATTAATGTATCCCTTATTTACAATTTTGTCTCTTTGCAGGAAAAGCAATACAATTGTTCTTCTGAAATTTCTGTAACACTTCGACCGACTGGCGTCTCTAATTGAAGCGGCCTCTGGTAGCTTTTGCGGAATTAGCCTTAAAAGTGTGACCAGAAATTGTTTAAAGCATTGTGTGAGGAGCAACGCTGTAATAAAAGAAACTTCACAAACGGTAAGAAAATTATTGTTTTATATGAATATCGTATACGATATATGAATACCGTATACGATATATGAATATTGCTGTCAATATATGAGTATCCGTCTATTATGTATGAATATTTGCTTACGGTATATGAATATCGCTTACGATATATGAATATCGTTTACGAAGTGTGATTATAATTAACGGTATATGATTATCGTTTGTGTTATTGAAATTTGTTTGACTATATATGAATACTCGCTTACGATATATGAATAACCGTTTACGATTTATGGATATCGTTTACGATATTAGAATTTGTTGAATTATATATGAATATCCACTTCCGATATATGAATCTCCGTTTACGATTTGTGAATATCGCTTACGATATACGAATATCGTTTACGATATTAACTAACAAAGTCACTTTTACATCAGCTTTACATCACTCTGTTCAATTGGTTTATTTTAATAAATAATTGATTGTACTCTACAGTTAATAGATGTACTCGTGTGCTGTTGCCTATTCCCATTTATTGACAATGATATAATACTGTTAATTGCCGTTAGCCTACGATCACTTTTAGAGTTTTGCCCATGATCTCTGTGTCCAGCTCAACTGGCTCGATGCTTATGTTGTATGTGACATGATAGCCGTTGTCATCGGCCGTGTAGAAGGCTGTCTCCTTATAGATGCTGTTGGTTGAATTTTCATCCTTGCCCTCTAAAATGTTACTCGAAGTGCGTTTGCCTGTTATAACCAGCTCGGGCCTTGCCCCCGTTTTGTTGTTGTTTGAATTGTTGAGCACAGCTGTCTCGTTGCTTTCAGTGTTCGGTTCACGTATGCTGAGAACGTCAATAAAGACTTTTCTTTATTGCTCAAATGTCAAACTGACTGGAAAACTTACTGAAATTCGTAAAACACTTTAGTCGCGGCATAATTACGCTTGATATACCCGCAAAGCAGCAGCAAGACGCACAATAACTGCGAGATATTCATTTTCTGAGTTCCTTATTTCACAATTTAGTTAAACTCTAACATCTCTACTCACTGTGATCCCTTTCAGCATTCTAGTTGAAGCTCTTACAGTGCACTAAACGTGTCTAGAGATGTCTATCCATATTTGATCTATGCCGAGCAATATAGCTACCGATCGTGATTCCATTTAGTCTTAGAAACTTGTCGAACCGGTTGCAATGGAGACACTGGGAATCAGAAATTATTGAATGAGCCAGACATTCCGCACTGTTTATTCTATGATATGTTCAGATAAACAAGTTTTTAGCGTAAATTAATATTTTGATGCACGTTCAGGAAGCAAAAAGGGTATATTAATGCTGATGCAATGCGGGTCTATCTGAATGAGAGAGACTTTTGAAGCATTTGAAATATATGTTTGAAATATATAGTATGTATATGCCTATCTCCGATTTGAACAGTTGAGCAACTCTACAAGTAAACTAATTCAATGGGTATATCCAAAAATATCGCTATTCAAATTAAAATTAAACTTTTTTTGCAATGTAAGCGGGTATTATGCACTCGTTTACACCCGACTAAAATATTCTCACCTGTGCTGCATTGAGAGCTCGATTTTCCGATTGCATTGACCGACAGTCGAGAGTGACACTAATAACTATTTTGAATACCAACAGCAGCAATTACGTAAATAAAATAGAGAGGGGAAAATCACGGAGGCTTTCGGAAAACTTTTCACTTTAATACTATTTCGACATATTTTAAGTATCTGTTATAATTGATATTAGCTCTGAGATAATTCCCTTTGGAAATGCAGCTAATTGTCAAGTGTAATTGGCCTTATCTAATTTGTTAGATTATTAGTATAAATGAACTTAGCCGAGACGTGTGAGTATCTTTAGGAGCTTAGCACTCAATCTTGGCTCGAATCCCATTGGTGTTCCATCAGTTGTTATCTTTTGATCGTGATCGTGATCGTGATTTGTATCTGATGCGGAGTTGGGTTTGAAGCTTTCCGTTGTTGTCTCGCTTTGAGTAGATATATTTTCGGTATGGTCGTTGAGCTTTGGGCTGTGATTTACTAGAGAAGACCTGGCTTTTAAGGGTGCCATTGTTGTCCGCCTTGCAGCTGTAACGATTTGTATAAAGCTTCCAGTTTTCGGATAAGGCTTTACGGTAGAAGAATGTGTCTCAGAGGGTTCCATAGTTATCTTCTTTACAGTTTCTATATCCACATTGCTTTCTTCTTGAGCTGTGATCTTAGAGCTGGGGATTGCTGTGGAAGTCTTGAGTGTTGAGGGTTGCTTTGTTGTCTTATTCTCTGCCGTATTCTCTAAGATCTCCATATGAACTTCAGCTGTTGGAGTAGTTTTGCTTGAGGTATTTGTCTTTGCTTCAGCTGTACTCAACAGATCCTCTGATGCACTTGAGTTCGTCAGTAAATTCATATTTAAGGGGTGCGCCCTTATAGACATCAATCCCAACAACAGAATAGTAATGTAAATCTAATGTAGTCATAAAAAATAATATGAATGCTTGCGGTATAGTTGATTAAACAGTTAAATACTTACAACTGGCTGCATTTTAGCTGGCGTACTGCTCGTTTGATTCACAGTTCAGCGAGTTTTATAGTCGTCGATGCTTCGTTAGTAATTCATAGAAATACCCATTGAAATCGAACAAGCTTGACGCTGGGCGTTACAGTTCTAAGGCTGTTCAATAGTCGAATAGAGCTTTGGAAAACGTCCAGCCCTAATTAGGTCAGTTGTCGATGAGCCTACGACGAGCTTAAGGGAAAATAAGTAGACTTCAAAGTACAAAGGGGAAAATGCCTAGATAAATTTAGAAATATATCTGAAACTAGTTGGGATTATATTTTATATACTGTTCTATGCGTCGGTCATTCGGCAGTTGTGCAAAATTTTTATTCCGCCTTTAGAGCTTTACGATATCTGAAAGTATAACAACTTTCTCTTAGAGTTGTTCAAAACTCTTATTTGTCAACGATCTATTATCTGTCTAGGCATATTTAAGAGTGAGAGCGCAGGCATAGGCAGCTTAACTGTCTTGATATATTGGAAACTATGTTAGAACAGGTATATAGGTGTATGGAATTGAGAGGACTCCAAGAAACAAGTTACAGAAGAACAGACAGCTAATATAACCCTTTCACTGCTTGAACGTGTATCAAAATCCTGTTTCTGTTTTAATATACGAGCTCAGCACGTTACAAACTTAACTCGTGCTAGTTTGAGCAGTTGAATTTCATTAAGTTTGAAATGAGAAACGCTCGATCGGCTGGGAATTTCGTTTGGCAATTGAGAAAAGCGTCGAAAGGGGTTTCGCCCATGGCTGAGAAGATGAAACTTCAGGCTCTAATCTTATGACTTATTTAAGCCATATTAGTTTAAAAAAGCCAATGAACCCATTGAAATATTGTAAAATGTTTTTTAAATAATTTATTTAAAGATTAAACATATTTAGTCAATAGTAACATGAACTTTAAATAGTAAAGGTGAATTATGGTTATATCACTGAACTTCTTTGGTTTGGTATGATAACTTAAAGATACACTTAAGAATATTTTTAGCACATAAACATATTTTTGAGGGCTTAAGCCAGAATTTTTAGTATTTTTCCGGATAGATGATTTACTGGCTCGGTTGGATACCGCTCATAACTGAAGAGGATTTCGTTTTGGATCACAGCATAAAGTTGGCTGTTGTTAGCGAAAGTCAATGAAATTTGCTCCAATTTGATGTAGTTTACGATCTGGTGGCGAAAAGTCTCTTCCGGTTCTGGTTCGGGTTAGTCCCTGCTGGTGCTTGGCTGGCTGTAGAGGCTTGAAGTTTTGCGTTTAGCTTATCACTTGGGACTGACACTTTCTGTATTTGCTCTTGACTTTGAATTGATTTTAAGTGTTGAGCTGAGCTTTGGCTTATATAGTCGCGTCTAGGTGGCGAGTGCATTGCCCATGGCACACGACGTGTGCCATGTGTAAGATCGGCACACGTCAGAAACTTGTGTTGAAATCGCTGGTGTTTTTCCCAGCGCACTTCCAACGGTTTTCAACACAAAAGAAAAGTCACCGGCTCGAGCCATTAACTATCATTAAAAGTTATCTATTTTAGTACATTTAGTCATCAAAGATCTGATTTTGATAGATCCAAGATGCAAAGTGTATCGATTTGCTAGTGGCCCTGACTCAGACTTACAGCTAATCGAGAGCCTACTCTATATATATTTTAAGAGGAACGAGGCGCAGGAGGGGCTAATTCTGTAAAATAATTACATTGGGATAAGCTGTATGAATTTAGTGTCTCTTGGGTTCAAACCTTATGCAGCTTAGATATTTTATTAATATCGATAAATATCGTTATGTGTATTTGGTTTTTGAGGCATAACAGGCTAAAGATACTAAAGATTTAGTCGTAAAACTATGACTGAAGATCACTGAAACTATTTCCTTTAGTGACATGCTGGACTTCTTGAGAAAGCAGAGCTATGTTCTGAGTTCTTGGTATCTTCTAGTTAGGCAATGCCGACGAGGTCACCAATACTGGCAGATGCTGAATCAAAGTTGTTAATAATCAATATGTTAACATTCATTTTCTTATTACATTTTACACATTTATTTTTTTGCTTTAAACACAAAAAATTCGTTGAAAAAATTTTAATATATTTTGACAACTAACAGAAAAATCAATGAAAATTCTAAAAATCAATAAATTGCTTTTGTAAATGTGCTAATTGAAATTGTGAAACAAAATGTTTGAAAATATTTTTGAGAGGGGATTTTTGCGTAGAGAATATTTCATGCCCAAAATTTTCTTTTTACATTTCCCATTTTAGTTATTAAAACTATTTTCGTTTGTCTTTTTGTATCAGTTTAAAAAATCTTAGTTTTAAATGTCGAAGAACAACAATAAAGAAAACAAATCGAAAAGAGGATTGAACAAAATGAAAGCAAAGTAAACCTTAAATATTTTTATTATTTTTGTTGTTTGTGTTTATGCGAAAGAAACTCACGTGATTCCCCTCTTCAAAATTATTTATTTTCAGACCAAAAAAAAGATAAAGAAAAAGAAAATAGAAAAGTGTTTTGCGCGGCTGGCAGGAAAAAAAGATCTCTATAGACAAGTCAAGTCAAGTCGAGCCCAATATAGGCTCAATAGAGACAGTGAGAAAAACAGACAGAGAGACAGAGAGAGAGAGAGAGATAAGAATAACACATTTTTCGATAACGATAACGATAACCAATTAATGAATGATACTTATCGACCAATCGGCTAACAAAACGAGACAAGACGTAAGCATACACAGTGTGGGGTTTTCTGTACCGCTGTGCCGCGGCAGCACCGTTAGCTACCATGGGCGCCAACGTATCGCAGCTGGAGCGTGAGATTGGCTCCGAACTGTTTCCGCCCAACGAGCACTATTTCGGGCTGGTTAACTTTGGGAACACATGCTATAGCAACTCGGTGCTGCAGGCGCTCTACTTCTGCAAGCCCTTTCGCGAAAAGGTGCTCGAGTACAAGGCCAAGAACAAGAGGCCCAAGGAAACGTTGCTCTCCTGCCTGGCGGATCTCTTCTACAGCATTGCCACACAGAAGAAGAAAGTCGGCTCGATAGCGCCGAAGAAGTTCATAACGCGACTGCGCAAGGAGAAAGAAGAGTTCGACAACTATATGCAGCAGGATGCCCACGAGTTTCTGAATTTCTTGATCAATCACATCAATGAAATAATTCTGGCGGAACGCAACAGTGGGAAGACCCTGGCTGCTGGCTCCAGTGTGTCGGTCTTAGCCACTGGCCCGGCCCAGGGCAATGGCAATGCTACGAATACGAAATCCAGCTCGAATTCCAATTCATCGAACTCCACATCGACGTCAACGTCAAATGGCAATTGCAGCAATTCGACGGGCTCGCTGAGCGTTCTGGATGGCAATGGCAGCGTCACAGCGACCACGACGCCAATCGGCCAAACGAATGGAGCCAATACGGAGCCCACTTGGGTGCATGAGATCTTCCAGGGGATTCTCACGTCCGAGACGCGATGCCTGAACTGCGAGACGGTGAGCAGCAAGGATGAGAACTTTTTCGATCTGCAGGTGGACGTGGATCAGAACACATCGATCACGCACTGTTTGCGCTGCTTCAGCAATACGGAAACCCTTTGCTCGGACAACAAGTTCAAGTGCGACAATTGCTGCAGCTACCAGGAGGCACAGAAGCGGATGCGTGTCAAGAAGTTGCCAATGATACTGGCCTTGCACCTGAAGCGCTTCAAGTATATGGAGCAATTTAATCGGCATATCAAGGTGTCGCATCGTGTTGTCTTTCCGCTCGAGTTGCGCCTGTTCAATACGTCGGACGATGCCGTCAATCCGGACAGACTCTACGATCTGACCGCAGTGGTTATACACTGTGGATCGGGCCCGAATCGTGGCCACTACATCAGCATTGTTAAGAGTCACGGACTCTGGCTGCTCTTCGATGACGATATGGTTGACAAAATAGAAGCTTCGACCATTGAGGACTTCTACGGCCTGACCTCGGACATACACAAGTCCTCGGAAACGGGCTACATATTGTTCTATCAATCGCGCGATTGCGCTGCATAGATAAATGCGCAATTTAAGTAAAAGTTTTGTTCTTGATTTAAGTAAAAAGTTTTCTAGGCTCTACCCAGATATATATATACATATATATGATATATAATCTCCTAGCCTATATCTAGGCAAATTTCTATGTTCATTCATTTTACAATAATAACAACAATAATAAACAATGATATTCACTAGCTAAGTGCGAGCATTTGTTTCTTTACCTTTGGGCTAGGTCAGTGTTTCCTAGGGGCCGGCCTGAATATATGTGTATTATATATTATATATATATATACTGCATTCGTAGTAAATCATGAGATTTCCCATGTAAATTGCTAATTGTTTAATAATTGCCACGCTTAGTATTTCAATGGAATTTTCTTCCTCTTGCATTGCGCTTGGTCTGTGCCCAGTTGGCCAAGTTCGTTACGTCAAAAGCAATTCCAATCTTTGCTTAGTCATATATGTGTCATGGGCGCCCACGAGCCATGCAGCTGGTTGGACTAAAGACTCTCGTGCATGCCGTTTCATGAATCAAAAGCACGTAAGATCGTAACATCTATTGATATTGATAACTCGAGACTATGTAAAACAGTTACTATTACCATAAGCCACGTGATCGTTCATGCTTAACAGGCTTACGAATCAGCTAAGCTTTTGTGAAATGCTTAACTATTTCTAATCGAGTTAGTGTATACTAGATATGCATATTTAATATGAGTTATGAGATGATATAGGTAATAGTTATGATAGCTATGATAGGGTCATTATCTATTTGATGTTTGTACGCTGAAAGGGCTAAACAGCTTGAGTTGTCGATGTTGAAGCGTGTGTAAGAGGCAAAGGAAAACGTGGTCGGAGGTGGAAGATATATTTATATATATATATATATATATATATAATATACATATCTTTATATGGTCTAGAATTATATAGTATGAGTATAACAGTTCAAGAGTGAGGAGAGACTTGAAATCTAACTCTATATCATATGTTATTTATCGATAACTTTGTTTAATTCTATAAAATTTGAGCATTGGATCATATCTGGCCTGAGTTGGCGTCAAGTGATTTGAGCTCATATCCACGATTCCTAAGTAGACAAAGATGCGGATTACCGCGCTCTTTTTTATAATATTAATAATCGATAATAATATAATAATCGATACACGACTACAAGCTGAACATTTTGAGGTCATCTTCCCAGTTTCAAAAGCTTAAAAAACAATTATTGTTTATGTGAAAACACTTTGACTTATTCGTAAGAAAAACTCCATTAGCCACCGTCAGCTGTGTGTTTGGAGTTGACCAATTTGTTGTCGCTTGTTTTGCGGCTGGGGGTCTTGGAGACTTGTCAATTATTGTATCTTAAGTACAATCTTCAATCTTCATTTCGTTCGATGTCGCTGGCTAAAGTGAAACCTACGGATGAGTGCCAAAAACCGGTTGAAACTCTAATGAAATATTGAAGTTTGACTTTTTTGTGACCGTTTGATTGGGAAACATTTTCCAATATATACACATATGTTTTATGGTTATGTGTGTGCCCAATTGACGCATTTTATGCTCGTTTACGTAGTCAAAAGGAGTATATTGGCTTGGAATATGTTATATATTTAACTTATAAGAGCTAAAGATCTTTCCCTTAGCTGCATTTTAAGTTTGTTTTAAGTCTCTTTTCAGTAAATCGCTTAAAAACTATATCTAGCCATATGCCAATAGCTTTAAGAGAGTCAAAAAATTCTTGTAAATAGATCAGGCTAAGGTAAACACGAGAGGGCTTCACTCTTTCAATACTTTCTCTTTATGCCCAGAATGGAAATTGACTGAAAACCTTGCTCTGGCTGCTCATATATGCAAGGTGTCAAATATATATATATGCCGGGTATCCTCTAGTCGTGCGCTCCCGACTAGAGCACGCTTAATTGTTGCTGCTTGAACTTGTTGTTGTTGTCGTTGTCGCTGAACCCGTTGCGTTGGTCCCGCAGCGCACTGAATTGATTAGTTGTATCTTTTGGACCGAGTAGACAATTCCGCATTTGTGCGCCCGGTTATTACGCACTGTGGCTGGCAAAAGACTTTCACTCAATTTGACGAAAGGAAAAACTTTACGCAATTTTCATGTTGTTTTATTTTATGAATATTTCGAGGCATTTTGCTGCAGTTGGTGTTGGCATTTGAGCAATGTTATCTGTGACATATTTTATGTTGCTGTTGTTGTTGTTGTCTTGTGGCTGTCACTCTTGAAAATCTAGCTGGGAACAGCAGAGGGGCGTGTCAATTGAAGTTGCAACATATGTCTGCGTCTCTTGTAGATAGAGTTCCTAACAAAACAGAACACAAATTTGTTATATATGACTAACTGTCAATATGCTGAGGCGGGGCAGCTGTCCACCCAGCCAGCCCCTATAAGCAAATCTGTTATAGTTCGGTATCAGATCGGAGGGGCATGCGGACATAAAGCATATGTAATTGAGCAAGAGCGTGCCAGTTGGCAGTGCTCGACTAGAAGTTACCCTGAACTGAGCACAGAGCTAGATTTCAATCATTCTATGGTTTCTTGGAGGCACTCATGCAGCTTCACACACACCCACACATATGCACATATGCTTATGCAGTTCTTGTTCTTACTGCAGTCACTACCCACTATAAGCAGTAGTTTGATTGAACTTTGCTTCTAGATGTGCGATTTTAATGACATCAGAGCCTAAGCGTGGGTGGGTACCAAAGTCTAGGGCTTGAAATGAGGCAGCTATTCAAAATAGAAAATTTGTACAAATTATTCTTATGTATTTGTATTCATTAGTAGATTATGCTAAGTTTGGCACGATTAACTAAAGTGTTTATTCTTTACAAATCAATTTATGTACATCGATATTTATCGATTGTTATATGAAGCTATTAAATGTAGGAAATATTCATTTATTACAATATTAAATTTGGCTTCTGTCTAGCCTAAATGCCCTCTTTGAATATGCAGGGAGAGCATAAAAAGGGGTCATCATCGTGTCTTTAATTAGCCATTTACCACATGTGGTGCGAGCTGCTGATGCTGCTCGAGTAGGATCACCCCTTGCCTGCTTTGAGAAGTCTTAAATCTATCTTGCTTGCTGACATAATTACGATGCGTTACAATATGAAATGTGTCAATCGATGCTTGAGCTAATATGCATATGTGTGAATAGTATAATATATATATATATATAAGCAGTAGATGTAGACTGAAGACTAGGCTAACTCTTGCCAATGCTGCACTGATAATTATAAATCTGAAACTCTTAGTTATTGCTTAAAGATAGATCGGCTAAGGTAAACAAATGCTGTTAGCACCCAAGTGAGTTGCGCTCGGCCAATGTAGTTTGAGAATTACTTGAATTGAATTGTCTCTGCCGGCAAGTGGGAGGCCATATACATATCTCTAAGCCGAGGGTGGTCGGAAAAAAGTTCAAAGTTGTTTTTCGCTAATTTGCGTTCGCTTGGCGCGAATTCAGCCCGCCACGCGAGGTGGGAGGTGAAAAAAATGTATCATAAGCGACAGTGAAATGGAAGCGATGAGTCATGCCTAGCAGTTGAGTAACAGCAGAGTACAGTGTGCGCTCGTTAAGTTGAACTGTGTTCAAAAATGAAAATGAATTCAAATTGAAAGTGAAAAATTTATTTCCCTTACAAATTTCCCTTGAATCTTTTTATTGAGCACCTAAAAGCAGGCTTTAAATCTGTTTTTTTTTTCTCATTGAAATTCCCATTCGCTACACGCTCGTTTTTCCTCCACATATTCAATTCGTTTAAATTACTATTTTAAGAGGCCTCTCTGGCTGCTGTCTACACAATTGACCGATGATCAAAATGACCTTACTCATCTAGTCTACCTCAGCTGTTTGTGGCATAAAAAATGAATAAAAACCCATTCGCGAAACGCGCAGAGAACTATGAGATAACTATGAGATAACTATGAGATAACTACGAGTTAACTGTGCGATAAATTTGAAACTGTCGGAATTATCTGAAAGTTCTTCTACTCGTGTAGAGAAGTGCATAAAGATGCTGTCTGTCTGAGCATTGAAAGTGTAGACAGATCTATTCGTGCATAAAGTCATCTGATACAATGCGATCACTCGGAACGTGGCTACACTGAGAATTCTTAGATCTTTGATAACACTGTGCTACACACTTGGCATTTGACTCGTATAGATCAGCGATGCTTATGAAAATAGCTAAGTAAGTTATGCTGATCTCTTCTATAGATTGTGTCAGAATTATGATTAGAACTAGATATATCAAGTTTGGCAAATGAAGCAGCGTTGACTTACTCTATAGATAGCTAGACTTATAAATAATATGCATATAGGAGATATCTTCTTACATTCTATATCTATCTATCTATATCTAAAAGCATAAATGATAAATCAGAAAATATGAAAATTTGATTTAGAGTTTTCCTTGCTTTTCTAGTTTCAGGTAGTTAGGGACTGCTGTGCGTGCGTGAGGGGATGTTGCACATGTTTATTTATGTATTATTCGAGATTTCCTTGCAGTGCCATAACATTACGCCCTTATTGGATTCTCGTTTAAATTTATGCGCATTTGTAATTGTTTTATTGGAAATGGTTTGTAGTTTGTAGTTTGTAGTTTGTAGGCTTCGTCTATTGTCATCGTTAATGAGCACTTGCAGCCGCCTTCTGCATTCCGTTTCCCTTGCGAGTGCCTCCGGGGCGCAGATGTTCGGCGGAGTCGAGGCACGCGCACATGCGCACACTCAAGTAACAATATCCTGACCCTCTGTCTCCGGCGAGAGTCTTCGCTTATCGAAGTGCTTCATTTGTTTCCATAGCATTGAGGATGTTCTCTGTCCGCACTTGAGTGCGCTTTGGCCACGAGTAAATGGTTTATCGTGTGCCCCATTACATGAAGCATAAATCTCCAACTTGCTCAGTTCATATATCAATATATGGCTATATACATGTTATTATATATACGATATTTTGACTCTTCATTCATTTGGGGTTAATTCGAAAGCACATTGTATAATCGTACGACTCTCAGCGCTCAGATGCTTTGTCGCCTGCCTGACTTGGGTTGCTTTTCCTACTCTTTGTTTGCTCGTTTGTAAAGTGAATGCGGGTATATTGGTTTGTGCACAGACATATTCTCTGGTCTCATATAGTGTTTGCTCAGTGTAAGTCCGTATCTCGC